GCACATGGGTCGGACCAGTGGAATACTGTATCTTTCTTGGTGAGATCAATCAAGGGTCTGGCGATGTCGGAGTAATGAGGGATGAAATTGTGGTAGAAATTGCAGAACCTGAGGAATGACCGAACTTCTTTTACTGTGGTAGGGATGGGCCAGTCATGGATGCCACCAGTTTTCATGACATCCATTGCAACACTGTGACAGTCAAGTTTTCCTTGGGCTTAGATTTACTTACTTTACTTACCTTTACCTACCCTCACTTTCTTTAGCTTATGTTTGCATTTTTGCTGCTTACTTAAGCATGTATCTCTTTCACTAGTGTCAGTACCAGCCTGAATGACAGTCCCTTTGGATGATAATTTCTACTCTCTGAGCACTGAGCCAAGTCAGAATCCCATGGGCTGAACATACTGCTCTCCACTCAGCAGCTTGGCCAGCTGAAATATGATTCCCACAACGCATCTGGGGCAAATGATCATACCTAAGTATTCAACTTCTTTGGTGTCAAAGGTGCATTTCTCTGGTTTCAGGAATAGTTGTTCAGCACAAATTCGTTCTAAGACATGACGAGTTCATGTATGATGGGAAGGGAGGTCATTTGAAAAGATTAGGATATCATCCATGTAAATGACCAACCACCCTTTGTTTATTTCCTGCTGGAAGGTCCGATTCATGTATGCCTGAAAAGTAGCAGGTGAGTTACAAAGACCAAAGAACATGACATTAGGTTCAAAAAGACCGTATTCAGTGGTAAACGCTGCTTTCCAATGATCATTGGGATGGATCCGAATGTTATTATACCTGGAATGGACATCCATCTTCGTGAAATATTTAGCACCATGTAGTTGAGCGACCAGGGTTAATGGGAGCAGGAGAGGATAAGTGTTTTTCACCATCCAATCATTGATATACTGATAGTCCTGACAAGGGCATAGGTCGCCACTTTTCTTCCCAACAAAGAAGAATCCACTAGCTTGCAGTGATTTCAACTCGGAAATGAATCCTTTCTGTATGTTTTCATTGATGAATGCTTTGACAGTGGTTCACTCTGCTTCTGACAACAGGTAGACCTTAGATGTCTTGGGGACAAAACCAGGTTTGGTATCAATGTGATGGTCAATTCCAGGATGTTCTGGGGGTAGTTGATTTAGTCTGTCTTTAGCAAAGATGTTGGTGAAGTCGTGGAGGTAAGAAGGGACAAGTTCTTCAAATGATTTCTTTTTCTGCTTGAGCCTGGCTGCTAGCGCAAACTGCTGAGCTTTGTTACTGGTTTTGATGTATTCAGTGGGCTGTGACAGGGGTGTGACCGTGGGTTTTTGTTCTGCAGCACTGGTACCATCTTTGGTTAACGGAGTGTCCATGGAAATATTGGTAATGACTCAGAGCTCAGCAGCATCGACAGGGTACTCAACCAAAAATTCATTGTCATCGAGGTGGTACATAGCGATTTCTCATACAGGTGATGCATAGTCAGAAGTCCACACATCATCTTTGGTGTCAAAGGAGTCATTGTCGTCGTCAGGGATAGGGTCAAAGTTGGGTAGAATTGGGGCTGCTTCTTCATCTGGGATTTCGTCAATGGTCGCTTGGGGGGGTGGTTCTATGAACATAGGCTGCACAGGAGGTGCCTTTGGCAGCACTACAACTGGCGTTTCTTCTTTCTTCAAGTGGGAGTCTTTCCAAGTTCTGTCAACCGGGGTTTCAATAGTTTCCTGAAAAAGAGGGGGAAGACCATTCTTCTTTCGTTCAGTATCAACGTCTTCTTCTATTAGATCACTCTTCTTGGTGCAAGAGAGTTCTAATGTTTCAGCTTTCCACCAAATGATTGGATCCATGGTGTGCAGCCAAGGGATTCCTAGCAAAATCTGATCATGACGGCTGAGTTTCATGATATTGAACTTTCCAAGCATGGATTGTTCATTGATTTTCATGATGAGGACACAGTAGTGGGTGATTGCGCCTCCTTTCGCATAACTTCCATCCACTGTGGTTACTCAGAATGGTTTCATAAGTTTATGCGTTCGGATGTTATGAAGCTTAACAAAGTCTTCGGAGATAAAAGTTCCGGTGGCTCCAGAATCAATGACAGTGGTTGTTTTGATGGTTTTTAGGCAAGTTTTTGAAATGAGGGAAATGGGAATGCGAAGTTCCTTTCTGATTCCTATACCACAAACAAGTCTAATAGGTACATTGGAAGATACTGATGTCAATCCAGTCTTCCACATCAAAAATCCTCATTGATATGACAGATTTCTTCTTCATCTTCTTTGGCTGGCTCAGTGCAGTGCACAGGAGCTTTGCCATTCTTCTTTTTTGGGCAATTATGGGAGACATGGCCCTTCTGGTGACAGTTGAAACACTTGCCATTCTGGTAGTGTTCAGTCTTCTCTTCCTTGGTGAGGCAGTCAACCTCCATAGCATTGGGGTCGCAATGGTCAATGGAGGGTCTGGGAATGTAGCGTTGACCAGTAGGCTTTGTGGTCATGCGATTGTTGTTAGGGAATATTGCACCATGCTGCCAGTTTCTGTCAAGTCTGATTGCAGCTTGGACATACTTGTTGAAGTCTACAGGGACGGTTTCCATCTGATAAATGGCATTACCAATTCCCTTCTTGAGTCTGTCATTGAAGAAGGTAATCAGGACGGCGTCTTGCTTTACATTGGCCTGCACAGCAAGGGTCCTGAAACTGGCGATATAGGAAGTGAGGTTGCCTGTCTGCTTCAGAGTTCAGAGTTTATTCATAGTGGTGCCAACTGCATCTGCTGGTGCGAATGCTTCTTTGAACTTGGCTTCAAAGTTTGCGAAGGTTCCATAGGACTTTGAAGTGGAGTTGTCTACTTTGGTGTAAAACATCAGCGCCCAACCCATGGCACTGTCTTTCATCATATATGTGAGTGCGGTAATGACTTTCTTTTCATCAGTGTTGTAAACTGATGAGTTAACAGCAAAGTATGCTTTTACTGAAAACAACCATCTTAATGTGTGGTCAGGGCTTCCATCATAGTCTTTCAGCATTCCAGCTTTGAGTTCGGATGAAGAGCCAGACATTCTGATACTGGGATGTGCAGAAAGATTCTGGGGTGGTTGTTCTTCTGGGAATTCATCTACCAATGTGGTTGAATGCTGATCTGGTTCTGTGGTTACAGGGGATGGGATTTGTCTCCCTCTGTTTTCTGTGATATCTGGACCTTCAGCCTCATGATATTCTTCTTCTTCTGGTTCTGTGGGGATGTCGTTTGGATCAGTCTCCCACCAATACTTTCTAACCCAAGGAGTTGTCTTGCTTTGAGCTACTGGGGCCTCTCTGGATGGAGAGGTTTGATAGAGACTTTAATCTTGTGTTATGAACTAGGGTAGTTCTAACAACAGACAACTCGATAAGAGTCAAGGACTTCTGTTGAGATTCTATGCAAGATGATAAGTTGAGCATTCAGTGTAAGCTAAGTCAAAGGGAGTGCCTTTAACTTAAAGTATGGTTCAGATGACAAGAGATTGGAGGTCTCAAGTGAAGGAAGTTCAGGGTAAAACCTAGTAAGATTAAAGTGAAGAGCTAAAGCATACAGGAGAACTATTTATAGTGAACTACTGTGCTTTAGGGTAGACATGAGAATGAAATGAGTCAGAGATAAGAAACGTGTAAGCGATAACAAGAATAAGTCATCTAGCAATGGCAGCAGCAGTTGTGATGTAATACAAGGTGTGAGTCAGAGATAAGTCTAGTGGTGGCATCATGCGGCTCGTGACATAATACATGGTAAGAAAGAGGAAAATGAATAGGAGCGTATGTGGTTGTAACAACATGTCTGTGCTTGCCACGACCCTCAGACTCAACCTCCAAGTCCTTAGACCCATCAGCCATAGATTGAAGCCCTGTCATGTCATCCAGGACCCCTTGCTCATAGCTCCCTGACTCATTGTCCACCAGCAAATTACCTGATTCATCAGTGCTATATCCATGAGGGACAGATGATTCACCCAATGCAATGTTTTGTAGAACAGTATCCACAGAAACATCACTAGGATCAAGCTTGACATCTGCGGCATGTGTGAAAGGTAGCTCTGCTTCTTCATCAGCCTTGGGAGTCTTATATTGAGCCATTTTGATGTGCTCCCAAGTCACAGTATCATTTTTCTGCACATCACACAGTGCATGAAGCACTTCACAACTGGTGAGAAAAGATGATACTGGTAGTCAACAAATCGGTTTCTAGATTTGCAGGGAGGTTGAAGTCAAGCAGCTGAGTGACTAAGAGGGTATGCAAAGGAATAATTGCACAATACTTCATAGGAACACATAGGAGAGTAGATAGTATTTTGCTGTGACTCATTTCTGGCTCTGAGTCACTGGCAGAGGCATTGTATGAACTGGGCATGGTGTTGAAGGACTTTCAAGTTGGTGGAGATTGTTTTAGAGCTCACCATCCAAGAGCTCACTGATGGATGCCTTAGTACCAAACATTGGAGGATCCATGTTGACTGACAGATGTGAAAATTTGACTCAGAAGTGCTCCATGCTGGTGGGCACAAGCCTGAGGATCATTTTGCCATATCCATGTTGCTGCAGGCACTGACAGTGGCTGGTAGTAGGTCAAAGCTATTTCTGAGGTGTCACAGGTCACAGGTGTCTTTGAAGCTTCAAAGCTAAGGCTCAGTTGGTCACACCCAGATCACATTGAAGGTAAGTGCATATCTCGACAGTAATGTCAACTTCGCTATTTTAAGTTTATCTAACATCTTATCTAAGATGACAAAATTTAAAAATACCAAAAATCTGACCATATCAGCACTTTCCTTTCCCCTTCCCCTTTCTGGCCTTTGCAGGAGCAACTGGTCTGGTGCCACCATGGTGGGTGACATGTATGGCCTTACCAGGCTCGGGTGCAGAAGGTGACTCAGCAGCTGGTGGTTGAGGTTGACAAGAAGAGGTGCTTTGAGTCGCTGATGCAGGTGGCTCACTGTTACCCAGTGACAACTGACTAACACCTAGTTGCAGCTGTGCAGTCGAGGACATAGTTTGTCCTTGGTTGATGGGCATCGAGGTATGGTAGCTGGAGGTGACATCAACCATTGCCAAACTAGTGAGGGGTAAAGAAGTGAGAGTCAAAACCTGGGTAGGAGCATTGAGTTCATTGAGGAGATCATCTTCCCATGTTCAAGATGGAGAGGCAGTAGGAGAGTTATTAGAGGCTGGTACACAAGACTGGTTGGTGATGCTGAAAACCTCCTTGTTGAAGTAGTCCATGACACTACAGGCCCATGGCATGCACTTGAACAGGCACTCTAAGTAGAAATCATAATCGGCTTGGTAGTTGATCTTGGTCTCTGCACCAATCGCTGTGAATTCAGGATTGTGCATCAACAAAAAACATGCCTGGAATTGTCAATCAATAAGGATTTATAAGATGAATGAAAGGTGAACTACTCACCATAACAGTGGCACCCACAATCAATCCTTCAGTTACACTGCACATTGCAATGCTGTCCCCTGGCCTTTTGACCTTTGATCTTCCCAGAAAGGATCTTCTTCCCATACATCTTGACATGAATGATCTAGTGAGTTGTCAGTATGCCATATTATATGATGACTGGATTGGTACTTACTTTGACAAGGACTGAACTCTTGAGGAACTCATCAGCTATCATTGCATCAGGTCTTGCATGTTATGAACTAGGATAGTTCTAACAACAGACAACTTGATAAGAGTTTGGACCTCTGTTGAGATTTCTATGCAAGACAATAAGTCAAGCATTCAACATAAGCTAAGTCAGAAGGAGTGCTTCTAACTTAAAGTACAATTCAGATGACAAGAGATTGGAGGTCTCAAGCAAAGGGTATTCCAGGTAAAACCTAGTAAGATTAAAGTAAGGAACTAAAGCATACAGGAGGACTATTTATAGTGAACTACTGTGCTTTAGGGCAGGTGTGAGAACAGAATGAGTCAGAGATAAGGGATACATAAGCAATAGTAATAATACAGTGGCTCAAAAAACTGTCCGCATGTTTTGACATTTTTCACTATCTATGATATTGTGTGAGAACTCACAAATGCCTCAAGGACATGCTTATAGCACATTGTAGTATGGCTTCAGGGCTTTCATTTGAGCCCTACACCGTGGGAATCGATGGAGATATGGTGGAGACATAAGGCTTATAAAATGATGACTCATGTGGACAGTTTTTTGAGTGTATATTAAAACTATATAAATCATTATTTATGACACCACAAAAATCATGCCACTATTATATAAATTATGAAGTGGTGTTATTATGTTATTTTATGACTATATCTAACTATATAAACCAGAATATCTCATGTATCATAGTCATAATCACCATGAAAGCCATCTTCTCTGCTCAAAGAGATAATATCCTCTCTCTGTCTTATGCTGGCCTCTCTGCTCGCCAAATTTCCTCTAGAACTGGAGTATGCAAGTCCACTGTGGCCAAGTTTATCAAAAAAAGCCACCCAGACAAGGAAAACTCTTGTGGAGGACATCCATCCAAGCTTACCTCTACTGACAAAAGGGCTATTATCCAACATATCACTACAGGAAAGGCTGATAATGCTGTCCAAGCCACCCATTATATCAATTCCACCATCACTACCCCTGTCTCTTCACAAACTGTGAGGAATGTTCTCAAGGCAGTAACAAAGAAGAAAAAGCCTCTTCTCTCCATCAAACATAGGCAGAGAAGACTAGCCTTTGCCTTAGCTCATCAACACTGGACTGTAGAGGACTGGAAGTATGTTATATGGCCAGATGAGACCAAAATCAATAGGATTGGGTCAGATGGGAAGGTATATGTATGGAAAAAGAAGGGAGATGGCCTAACAGACAGAGAGGTTAATGGGACTGTCAAGTTTGGAGGAGGTTCTTTAATGGTATGGGGCTGTATGGGATGGAATAGTGTGGGAATGCTTGCTGAGGTTGAGGGGAAGATGAATGCTGAGCAGTATGTGGACATTTTAAATGACCACTTGCTGCCTAGCTTGGCAGAATCAGGGATTGATGAAGAAGATATCATTTTCCAACAGGATAATGATCCCAAGCACACATCCAGAAGAGCTAAGGAATGGTTTGAAGAACATAACATCAATGTTCTTGACTGGCCAGCACAGTCTCCTGATGTCAATGTCATTGAACATCTCTGGGGAACACTCAAGAAAAAGCTTTAAGCCTATGAAAACCCCCCTAAAGGAGTATGAGAGCTTTGGGAGAGAGTAGCAGTGGAATGGGGGAAGATCACAGCTGAGGATTGCCAGAAATTAATTGAGAGTATGCCTAGAAGGATAGAGGCAGTAATTAAAGCCAAGGGAGGTCATACAAAATACTAGAATACCTGGTTATTATTGTAAAATACTTGAGTCAAAAAACTGTCTGCATGAGTTACCATTTTGTGAGCCTTGTATCTCCACCATATCTCCATCGATTCCCACGGTGTAGGGCTCAAATGAAAGCCCTGAAGCCATACTACAATGTGCTATAAGCATGTCCTTGAGGCATTTGTGAGTTCTCACACAATATCATAGATAGTGAAAAATGTCAAAACATGTGGACAGTTTTTTGAGCCACTGTAAATGGGGATAGGTGCAGGATATTGGACAGAGGGTAGGAATAGGTCCGGAGTTAATATCCAGAGGTCTGGAGATCTGGGGATCCAGAAGACAAGGTGGATACAGGACCGGGATATGAGAAGGTGGATAGAGTCTGGAAACTGAGACGAGGTGAAGTCCAGATGTCTTGCTGGATGGAGTGTACATCAGGTGGATGGGACAGGGGGTTATGGTTCAGGTTAGCAGTGGAGATCTGATGGTCCGGATCTCAGGGGTAAATCTGGAGTGTAGTTGATCCTGCTGAGGTGTGGAGCACACAGTGGAAGGGGATCTGGGAATGAGTTGGATATGAAGTGTGGTCTGGACATAGGCTTGGAAGGCGTGGGAATATGATGGAACGTGGGTCTGGATTGTGGGATATGACATCCTCCATGATCCTTATCTTTTTCCTCATTTTCATTTTGATGCTCAGCACTTGTCAAAGTTCAATGGCCAATCATTTGAACACTTTGTAGATGAGCCCTTTACAGCTCAACACTTCTTAGATGCTCAAGTGTGTATCATTCATGTAACGTGTGTAGTAATTTTGATGGTGTTTTAATATATTCTGTAGTTGCAGCTGCCAGATGGTGCTAAGCCCCTCGCCTTCATCTTGTATGCAGACAAGACAAAACTATCAAGTTTCAGTACTGCAAAAGGCTACCCTGTCATTGTGTGATTAGCAAATTTACCCACTGACATTCGCAATGGTCAGGGAATGGGTGGAGGTTATGTTGTTGGGTGGCTTCCTGTGGTATGATGCATATATTCAAATCGCATCTATTACTTCATACTAAGTGTATTGATACAGGTGAAGGAAGACAAGCAACACTCTGGCAAGTCAGCATGGGCTAATTTCAAGGCCACAGTATGGCACAAGTCATTTGGAAGGATACTCTCTTTGCTAGCAGAAAGATTGAGAGCAGGACAATGGTTGGAGTGCTTAGATGCTGTTCAGTGCTGGTTTTTTCCATTGATACTCATTTTATCATCTGATTTTGAGGAACAGTGAGTCCCAAACTCTTGAGATTGACCTCTCAGTAGCTTACTATGTTCTGATAAGGTCAACAATGTCACTTACTTGTGGCATCAGGTCCCTGTGGCCATGCCCAGTTTGTCTCATTCCACACAACAAACTTTCAGATACATCATGTCACTATCCACTTTGCATGTCTCATGACTCACAGGCCATCCTAGCAAGTACACAAGAGAAGGAGATCGCTCTCTACTGGACCTGCTGCATTGTTTGAATACCATCATAGAATTCATTTTGGGTGCTGTCCCCCACAGATGTACATTGTGTACTGTCTTGGGACAGGCTACACTTTTACTCTGGTGGTGAATGGTCTGATCACCTGTGAGTTGAGCTTCAGAAACATATCAATGGTCTTGGATGAGATAGCATGTCTTGAGTTGACAAGGAGTAATGTTACTTTCTGTAGTATTTTGATTCAGACTTGATCTAATGTGAATTGACATAGCTATCACACATCTCCCTGCTGGCAAGATCAGAAACACCTGAACCAGGTGATGAATATTTCATTTACAGACAACTCAGTGCACAAAGACATTTCAAAGGTTTGTCATTCAGTTTTTTGTGCTACCTTGAGTCTAACTGATTTGTACTAGATGATAGTATATGCTACTCATGATATCTTGACAGAAGTAGACTGCCCTATCAGTTATCTGCTCCTTCACTGTGTCCATCTTTATATTGAGCTCAACATGTATGCCTCACTCAAAGTCCACATGGCTGAGACAATCAGCAGTGGCTGACATACACACTGTGTGTTTTTAGCCATTTTGGAGGTATGCTAATGTATTTTTATCTAGAATATCTGTGAAGGCAAGAAGGACATTGATGCCTACATTGATGCTCTAGGTCTTATCAATCTTGCTTTAGAGATGGTGCTTCCTAAGCTATGTGCTCTTGGTGGCATATTTTCATGGTGTGATGAGGAGTTCATTGTACAAGACTCTGGATGAGTGGACTTGTCAATGCACCAGCCATTAATTCTGTACTTCTACTCACAGTATCTGCAGCCAGGCCAAAAAGGCCCCAAAAGTTCCATCAAGGGCCCTACATTCAAGATGAAGCAATTTTCCCTCATGGTGGTCATTCTAGAGCATCAGTGGACAGAGTTCGAAGATTGGCAAGAAGATAATGAGATGGTATGCTTATGTATTGTACACTCATTGTCTATGCTAACTTACACTCAATTCTACAGGCTATTGAGTGTTTAGGTCAGTCCTCTAATGCCAATGGTGCTATTGACAATGTCAATACCAAGGATGGTCATGCACCAGTCAAGGACACCTCATACTTGTACTCAGCAGATGATGCACTGTCTGCAGTCCAGCTCCCTTTATGTCACCCAGCACTTGACACAGTGGCTAGCACTACACTCCCCTCATTACATGAAACAAAGTCCCACTTGCTGGTCCCCACTACTACCAGCATCTTCATCAAATGAATGCATGAATGTGCAAGCAGTTCTGGCACAATTTCACCCCCTCACAAAGTACAGGTACCTCCTGCATTGTGTCTGGATTGTGATCATCTCAGGGAGGCCCTTAAGATTGGTAGAGGTGCTGACTTGAATATCAAACAAAGTATGTTACAGTCCTTTAGTCTATTCAATGCACTCACTATTTAGTATCAGTCTCCAAGTTTCAGAATGAAAATATTCATTTTCACTTGATCCCTACCTGACCCCTCAATGAGCTCTTGAAGTGCACCCACTACCACTTATTCTCAGTAGATAATGCTGATCATTTGTTGGCTATGTGACAATTGATCTATCCATTGAAGGCCATATTGGAATTGGCAGATTCAAAACAGCATACCAAGGATGGTTGACACTAATGGTGCCTCCTAGGTCTGGTCTGGGGCCATGGGCAAGTCACAAGGTTGTTGTGAAATGTCCATTCAAAAGAGTGTACCCTCAAGGCATGCCTGCATCTAGCACAGATTATAGAATTGGATGCTTTGCACCATCTGATGAGCTGGCCAAGCTGTTCAGAGAAGCAAATGTCCTATACTGGGCAAAAGCTTTGTTAGATCTTGTCTACAATTTCATTGACCATGCAATTGCAGATACATCTGATCCTTCACCATTCAATATTCCACATGTGCAGTTTGTTGAAGCCAGCCTTGCGCTATCATACCCTCAAAGCAGTGGCAAGTCTTCATTAAAGACTGTGATAATACCATGTAGAGCTTTCCTCCTTGAGGAGGTTATTGAAGGTGAAGATTTCACCAAGTTTATTCATAATATGGATCCTGACCCACTGCTTGACCCAGACCAGGATGGGTATGACTTTGTGCTGTTTTTGGCATTCATGCAGCATGTCCAGTATGTGAAGACAGGTGGGTTAGTCTTTATATCTGATTATCAAGGTATGTGCTCCAGGTCTATGACCCAGTATTCTATATTCTCAGTGTGATTGATATGGAATTGAACAAGCAGTATGAAGCTACTGACTGATCCACAAATCATGATGCACTTGTCTGTTAGCCAAGGCAAAGATATATTTGGGGAGGGCAACATTGAGAAGGTGGTCAGTGTTACAGTTTCTCTTTTCCTTTCACCTCTTCACCTATTTCACTAACACTTCTTAGACATTCTATTATATTCCATTGTACAATTCCATTTCTATTTTCTGATTTGCTATTTACCTTCAATCTCCAATTCATTTATTAAAGCTTCACTCTAATACCTTTATATATACTCTATCTCTTATGCTTGTACCCTTTAACTTGACCTACGCAGACCAGGGCCTGCAATATACTGCTTAACTCACACAACTTGTGAATAAGTTCACACTTTAGATCATTTGTTTCCATCTAGTTGTTCTTATGAATGGTGAGCATAACAAAAGGTCAAGTTACTCCACTACTGTGTGGTTCCCTTGAACTCATGCCCAGAACCAGAAACCATTTCGACCATTGCACTGACTCCTCCCAGTTTCACCTGGGACAAACAGAAGAATGAGTTTTTCTGTCTTGATGCCAAAGGTGACAGATACTCCCTAGACCAGTGGGCAGCGTACTACACCAACCAAGTCCTGAAGAACAAAGTTTGAAATTTCTTTACCCAAACTTATGAACGATCCACCACTACTACCATGCCTAAAGAAATCAGCAAGACCCCCTCTCCTTTCAATGGCAACACCTGCCTTGCTCAAGGATGGACCCTCCAAGTTGAGGCCTACTTTGACATGAATGACAAAGTATATGACAATGATAAGAAAAAAGTTATCTTCACACTCAGCCTTATGACCAAAGGCGAAGCCTCCAAATGGGCCAAAGGCCAATTGAAAGCTGCAGTAGCAGCTAAGACTTACAGAACCTGGGAAGATTTTACTAAACAATTTAAATCTACCTTTTTCCCAAAGAACATTGAACAGACTGCAATCTGTTGCATCTCCACTCTTAGACAAACCAGCAGCATAGCTGCATACACCTCATTATTCCACACCATTCTCGCTGATACCGGCATCAATGAAGAGAACACCAAAATCATGTTCTTTAGAAACAGCTTAAAGCATGAGATTACCCCTGCTATTTATGCCTTTGATACAACCCCTACTACCATTGAATCATGGCTAGAGAAAGCCTTAGATGTCGAGGTCTGAAGGACCTTAACAGCACCTCTGTCCTATACCAAGGCACATGACCCTTATGCCATGGATATAGATAAAGTAGAAATAGATGAAGAAGACAGTGAGAAGAAGATGAGGAAAACTTACCTGACTCCTCAAGAATGGGAGCAAAGGTGCAAGGGCAGCCTTTGCTTCAAATGTGGCAAGAAAGGTTTAGCCACAGACTGCCCTAACCATCCCACAGTTACAACCAACACCAGAAAGGTAACCAAGGAGTCATCTGACAATGATTACAAAGAATTTCAGGAATGGAAGGCATTTAAAGCATGCCAGATGAAGAAAACTGGTAAGAAGCCGGTTAAGAAAGATGAAGGTAGTGATGAGGAGGATTTTGCTTAGGGGAGCCTGCACTGGTGTCAGACACTCCCAGAATCGGACTAGTAGTACAATCTGTTGGCAATACTAATTCTATTTGTTTGCCTTTAACCATCAGATTGAACAAGTCCCCAAAAACCACTGTAGCTGCTGCTCTAATTGATTGCAGTGCAGAAGGCAAGTTTATCGATGAGAAGTTTGTACTCAAAGAAAATATTTGCATGCACAAACTTGAAACCCTGATACCTGTGTGTAATGTAGATGGCACATTAAACAAAGCCAGAAGAATCACACAGTACTGTGAACTTTCATTTTTGATCAAAGATATCCCTATGTGGAAGTGATTCTTTGTAACCTCTCTAGGAGGAGAAGATGCTATTCTGGGAATGACTTGGCTAAAGAAAGAAAACCCAGATATCGATTGGACTAATCAAGAAGTCCACTTAAGGGAGTGTACCCTGAAAAAAGCAACCATCGAAGAAGTTGAAGATGAAGACATATTTTACAATGCACTTGAAGAACTAGAAGATGAATGGGACCCTGCTAACAAAACTCTCCCATACCTTTTAGATCCCATCAATGACAACAACAATTTTTATACCTATATCTGGAAAACTGACAATATCTCACAGACACTCGCCCAGGACACCACTAAGCCAGGGAGGACTTTTGAAGAACTCATACCTGAAGAGTTCCAACAATATAAAGATGTATTTGGTGACGTAGCTAATGGTACCCTTCCTCCAGAATGCAAATATGACCACAAGATCGACCTCAAAGAATCCTTCAAACCGCAGAAATGCAAAATTTACCTGCTTAATGCCAAAGAAGATAAGGCTATGAATGATTTTATTGACGAACATCTAGCCAAAGGGACAATCATTCCTTCCAAATCCCCTCAATCCTCCCCCTTTTTCTTCATCAGAAAGAAAGACAGTTCCCTCTGACCTTGCCAAGATTATCGCTACCTAAATGAACACATGGTTAAGAATAACTACCCTTTACCACTAATCTCCAATCTTATAGATAAGC